CATCAGACTTATTTCATCTTCTGTGATCCAAGTTTCAGTTAAACAAATTATATCAAAAATGTGTTTATTTTCTTCTAATAGATTTAAAAGTTTTTCAAAATTGCATTTCAATCGTCTTATATTGAGGTGGAGAATTACAATTTGATTATTACTTTTTTCGCGAGCGTTCTTAAAAAGAAAACCTTCTAGTTGGTTTGGAAAATGATACGAACAATCGGATAAAATACTGCAATAAAAATTATTTTCAGTGTCTAAGTATTCTTCTGAAGAAAAGAGATTTGTTTCATGTATATTTAAAAAAAGGGATTCAATTCACGTTCAATGTCGATATTTTTCAGTCCAAGTTTTTGCCAGAAGAATGCGTGAACTTTTTCTTCAGAGTCCCCCATGATTCTTGCCCATTTTCATCAATTCCATCGATTCGTAGGTTATTTCTTCTTAATCTATCTTCCAGTTTTCGTTGCTTTTCCTTTATAAATTTTTCTATATTAGTATGTTCGAATTTTTTATCTAGTTGTTTAATGTTGTTATGGATTTTTTTGTCAACTAGTTCTTCATTGTAGTTTAGACAATGCTTAATATCTTTCAATTCCTTTGTAAGTTCTTTAATATTGTTTGCATTCACGTTGATGTTTAACTCTGCTTTGTCCATTCTGTCGTTAATTATTTTTATATTAGCGCCAATAATATCAATAACAGTTTTCTTTTGTTTACGAAACATTTCTTCAGTTTCTTTTTGAATTCTTTAAACATTTCTTTTAACATTTTTTTTGTTTCAGAAAATGTTACTGCCATATTATAATATTTTTTTTTTTTTTTTTTTTTTTTTATATAAAATATATTTCAATTTAACAATTATTTACAGATTTTATAAAGTTTACATTAAGTCAGATACAGAAAGTTAAAGTTTTACAATATATAAGTTTCATATATAAAGTTTATATAAATTTACAATAGAGATGGTTTACAACTGTTTTTATATATATACATACTTTTTTTTTTTTTTTTTTTTTTTTTTTTTTTTTTTGATTTTATATTATATTGTGCAGAGAGAAATCGGAAGATTTGAGAAAGTTAAAAATGGAGATGTTTTAAAAAGAAATCATGAAATTTTTATATAAGGAATGAAATTATAATAATATAACAGCAAAAATTACAAGACTTAAACACAAACAGTACATAACGTACGCTACAGAAAAACATTTAAAAAGAGAGACTTTAACTCATTAAATAAAGGCTGGCAGTGATTTTTTAATCATAAATAATAATATTTTGTTGTAAAAATAATATTTCGCAGAGAAAGGGAAAACATCACTAAACACATAGTACTTTTACTGAGCTAGCGTGTCAGTTTAGCTCATATGTTTAGTTTCAGTCTTCCGTTCTCTACTTGGCATATTATATTTTTAACACAAAAAAGTTGACAGAAAATGTCCGTAGTATTTCTACGGACATGATAATTATATTTTAAAGTAATGATATTCCTGATTTTCCTGATAATTATCCTGATCACTGCCATTGGGTCAATTTTCATGTTACTAAACATGTGGTGGCATCTGCTGTTCCATATCTCACTCATGATGGTTTGGGTGAGTGTCAACAGCAGTTGCGAGGTAGGGTTTTTTTCCGATAAATTCGCGGTTCCGATAGAGAAAATTGAATATATCGGCGAAAAACCCTTTTGGGACGTCAAGGAGTTATATACATGTTTAAAATATTCCCAAATTTCAACAGAGGGAGGACAGTAGGCAAAGATGTGAAGATTGTCCTCGATTTTACCACAAGTTTTACATTTGTTGTTTTGGACTATCTGTTGCCTTGTGCTTTTGGCTAGCAAGGCCGCAGAAGGTAGACTGTTGTGCAAAAATCGAAAGAGGATGTTTTGAGTCGGTCCGCATGCGTGGGAGGTGAAGTTCTTTTTCCAAATTTGGGTCCACGGCATTGTTGTTTTTGTTGAACCGTTCCAGAAAAGTTCTGCTGGTACGACTGTCTTTTTGTTTTTTGCCACTTCTAAGTAAAAGTTTTTTGTTGATTTTAGGGGGATGTTAAAAAGGGACCCGTTTTGGCCTAATATTTCAATAGTTGTTTTGTAGTACTGAGACATTTTGTTGTCCCAGTGTTTTGGAAAGTTGTTCTGTTTTAAAAAATTCCAGCATGGGTTTTGATTTGTAAATTTAATAAGTGAACTTGCTAACCAGTACTTTGAAAAGTAGTAATTATCGTGGGTGTTCTCCTCTCCGCATTCTTTCAGTTGAAAGAGTGTTTTGAGGCGGAGCGCAAGGCTTTGCTCCTTCGGTGATAGAATTCCGAGACCCCCGCTTTTAACGGGTAAGAAAAGCGTCTCTCTTTTGACCGGATTAAAATTGGTCTTTTGCCACAGATTTTCGAAAATGGCGCTGTGCAAACGTTCTATTACCCATTCGGGAACGGGCAACACGTTTGCCAGAAACCACACTTTTGACAATGCTAACGTATTTATCAACATAGTCTTTCCCCTAAGTGACAAAGTACGTAGTCCCAGAAACTTGAGTTTTTTCTCTATTTTGGTTAGAGTTACTAGCCAGTTGAAATTGGTAGTATTACTCAGCCTGGTGTAAAACGTAACACCTAGAATTTTGAAACCGGTGTTATTAGTCCACTCTATGTTGTCCAATTCCGGGTACATTTTGGGATCAAAACCCCCAAGAGCAAGACCCTTGGTTTTTGAGGCATTGATCACTGAACCACTTGCTTTTTCAAAAAGTTTTACTGCTTCAAAAAAAAAAAAAAAAAAAAAACGGACTGATTTTACGTCCCTGGCAAAAAAGTTCGAATCGTCTGCGTACTGCTGTAGTTTAAGCGGTTTCGGTGTTCCTGGTAAAGGGAAACCCTCTATTCTGCTGTCCGCTCTGACCACCAAAGCAAGAGCTTCGGCGACAAAGACGTACAACAAAAGAGAGAGTGGGTCACCTTGTCTAACTCCCCTTTCGGTGGGAAAAGGGGCTGACAAGAAACCACAATTCAGAATAGATGCCGAAATTTCTGAATACAGGGTGTTAATAAAGGATACGAAATTTTCTCCGAGGTTGAATTTTCGGAGAATTTGCAGCAGAAACGCACGATCGACTTTGTCAAACGCCTTTTCTTGGTCTATTGATAAAATGAAACTAGGTAGATTTTTAAATTCAGCGTAATCTATTAGATCACGGACAAGGTGTAAATTTGAGAATATTGTTCTACCTGGAATTCCGCAAGTTTGATTTGGTTCTATAATTTTCCCCATTACTTTTGCAAGTCTTAGGGCCAGCGCTTTCGTGATTATTTTGTAATCAGCGCCGATTAAGGATATGGGCCTCCAATTTTTGCATTCAGTGAGATCTCCTTGCTTGGGAATTAGTGAAATTATTGATTTTTTCATAGAGTGGCTGGTATTTTTTTCTACGAAAAGTATTTCGTAAGCAAGCTCTTCAAAATCTTTTTCTAAAATGTGCCAAAAAGTTTTATAAAATTCAGCTGGAAGTCCGTCATAGCCCGGGGATTTTCCGTTTTCAAATTTAAAAAGGGCTTCTTTTAACTCCGCGCCGGTTAGGCAGGTGTTTAAAAATTTGTTTTCATCATCACTCAAATGTTTAGTGATGTGTGACAAGACATAGTTTTGGCTGTCTTTGCATAAATTTGTTTTGGTGTAGATGTTTTTGTAATAAGAAACGAGGGATTTTAAAATCTCGCCAGGTTCACTCGTCAATGTTCCGTCGTTCTTGCGAACTTCGGTAATTGACTTGTTCCTCTGTTGAGTTTTTTCCAAACTGTATATTATAATTATATTATAATATACGTGATAAAATAAAAATAGTTTTTTTAGATTAAGCTTGAATATTTTTTCAAATGTAAAGTAATACAAATGTTTTTTTGTTGGTTTTTTTCTCCTTGTGGTAAAATCGCGTCCGCTCTTGTTGAATGCTTGCGTTGAAAAAAAAATTGCGTCTATGTTTCTGCCCCAGGGGACAGTTTTTTGAAAGAATACAGTTTCACACTTGCTTTTTAATAGATTATTTTGACATCAAAAATGGTTTTCACTTGATGAAATAATGCTTATAACTTATATCTTTAACACTAAAATCAAAATTGCTTAAAAAAAGGTCTGGCAAAATATTATGTAAACATAATATTTTTATCAAAATAAACATTATTATGCACAACTTCTCAGAAATGTAACAGGCGAAAATATGCATGTTAAAAATATTTTTAACATGCATATTTTCATATATGCAAAAATGGTTGTTTGTCTTCGATGGGCCAATAATGATTTACAAGCACACGAAAAATTGGTACGCATCAGTTACTAAATACAACTTTCAAAGAAATTGTGCGTGTTCTCAAAGATATTCTCTTCAGGACGAATTTGAAATTAGAAAATGGGCGTGGTCAATGCTATGATGGAACTGCTAATGTCTAATACAATCTCTGGACTAGCAACTGAGATAAAATTATTTTGCAAAAAGTGCTTATATATACTTTGCTACGCCTATTTTTTAAACCTTGTCATCGGTGATGTTATCAAAAATATTCCAAGTCTCAACGATACGTTTGGAACAGCATATGATTTGTTATAAATATATTTGCAAGTTTATCAAAACATTACCTAAAAGAAATTGATTTGGACAAAATTGATTTGGTTGAGATCGCAAATGAGTTTATTAATAAATGTAAAACACCAATAAACATTTTTCAGGAAATTTCAGTTAGCATTATTTAAATGTATATTATGAAAATCAAAACTTTTTGTTACTCCCTCCCTCATTTAAAAAAACCATAGGCCCCCTAATATCAAAATTGTGGTTACGGCTCTGAATATAGAGCACATTTAATAAAAATTTTAGCTTATTTATGAAAGTTTATAAAAAGTTATGCAGTTAAAACTGAAAAAAAGTTGGTGTTTCTAAACTTTTGCACGCTACTGTATACAGAAAAATTGTGAAATTTTTTAGCCTAAAATACTTATTTCAAAAATATGTTTTTAGACTGTTGTCTCCTTCGTTTTAAACCTTTTATGTGTGGCTATATACATCTCAATGTCTTCAGAGTATGTTGCTTTTTTAATGTTTTAATGTTTTTGTAATGTTTTTAATATTAACAGATGTTTTTGTAAAAATTTTTATGTATACATGCTAAGTTTAATAAAGAATTATTTAAATGAGAAAAAAATGTTATATTTAAACTTGAAAAATTTAAAACGACAACTACACAGTGGATTAGCAAAAATGTTAAAACAAAAGGCTATGTTAAGTTTTTTAATTATTTGCAATCAATATTCATACACAAATGACAAAGAATGTTACGTTTATAATTCATTTGATCAATTTTTTACTTTTCATTTTCAGAACTTTTACATTTTTAAAACAATTTTCCTTAAACAATTTTTCATGCAAAAAAAAATTTTTCGGAACTGAATTTAAGTGTGTAGTACAACGGTGGAATGAAATGAACTTAAAAGCATACTTGAGTACTTTAATTAATTTTTGGTAATTTTTTACCAAAATTTATTTAAAGTACTTAAGTACTTTTGAATAAACTCTAAAAAAATATTTTAAATTAGAAAAAAAAAATCAAAAATTTAGTTAAAAGAATATTATATATATAAAATGAAAATTTTGATTTTACAAAACTTGATATGTAATTATATATTTCACATAATATGTGATATTATCACACCATTCTTTTCTAAAAATCTTTTTTTTTAAAACCGTTACCTATTAGTACCAATAGGTACGGGTCATTCTAATATAAATATAAAGAGCTTCAAAATTAAAATTAACTCTATTGACTTTGAAAAGTACTGTTCCGGCTAACTGGTTTTTGTTTTATAACTATGGTCTTATATATAATTGTAATAAATATTTTAAATTATCGAGCATTTGTATTATGTGATTGTAGGGCACGTTGTCAGAGTCCTTCATATTTTATGGACCTGCGTGTCCTTTAGAACATGTACCACTGTTCTAATAAATTTTAATCTAATCTAATCTAATAAGCTTAGGAAAGCAAAAATGAAAAGCTTAAAGTGTTTAGAAAAAAATAGAACCTGTGTTTAATAAAAGACTTCTGTGTAGTTCAGATCCTACTTGCTACGAAGTAGAAAGAAAGAGAAGTTGACCTTTTCCGAAAAAGCTAAACTTCTATCTGTATGAAACTTGTTTTTTTTTTTTTAACTTGTAACTTGTATGATCTTGTATTTTTTCTTTGATTAACCAACCCAAAAAAAAAAATTTTTTTAATGGATCGGTTTATGCCAAAATCGTTGTAAGTTGACCCTTAAAGACCATATAGAATCAGTGGTGTCAGTTAGATTTATCGGTTTTGCAAATTTTTATCACGAGTTGCGCATACCTACACTTAATGTTTTGCCATGCTTATTTCAAATCAGAATGTTTTGCAAAAAAAAAAAAAAAATGCTGTGAAGTATTATTTTTTTTTTGGAAAGCATTCTGATTTGACATAAAAAACAAAAATTTCCCAAAAGGTTTGGAACAAAACAAGGTTGTTCACCTTACTCCGAGTGTGAGAATAATTATAAAAGTTTTTTTCTTATATTTTTTAAAATAAATAAAGCTTAATATAAATCTTATGAATATAGATTTAAACTCTTGAATAGGTTTTAACTATCGTTAAGTAATCTTTTAGAAGTCAAAAGTTATGATCAAGTGTCCACCCTTCTCACAATGAATTTTTTAATTTGTTCATAACTTTTGGGCTCTAAAAGATTTCTAGATGAAATGAAAAACTTGTTGATGAATTCAAGTATCAATAGTTAAAAATATATATATTTTTTAACTAATTGTCCTCACACTTGGGGTAAGCAATATTTTGTTTCCAGGCTCCAATCACAGGGACTTCCTTGAAAAAACATTCTGATATGACGTAACCATGAACATACATAAGTTTGAGTTAGCTCAATAAATGAAACACCAAAAACCTTAACAGCAATACTGTGTAACGCAATGGTCAGAGTAGTTATTAAAAATATGGAGTATAGGCAAGTTTTTTAGCGAATGTAGATGTTTTTTATTATAAATGCATTGGATTCTTTTATATATTATATTTCCAAAAAGGTTTCACCCACTTCTGTAGCTTATTTTGTTCCAAAGATATACGCACTTTAATATTTTTAATTCATAGTGCTTTTATGAAATATTTTCTTTAAGTCTATTGATAAATTTTTGGCACCGAAATTTTTTTTTTTTTTTTGCGTAAAAGGTCGCGTTAATAAACTTTTAATAAAATTTTATTAAAAATTAAATCGTAAATCCAAATTATTAACAAGTTATAAATATAAATTTTTAACATAAACAGTAGAAAATCTTTTAAACTTGTTTAACATAATTTAAATTTTTAAATGTTTTAATTTATAATACGTTAAGTGTAACAAAACTTTGAGGAGAAATATTAATTTAATTTTTAAATTAACTTTTATTTGAAATTTCTTAAATAAAAAATCAAATGAAAAACGTGGACCCAAATAAAACAGGCCGAAAACGTCGAAATACGTACAAAATAAGGATAAATCTAAAATTTATCTTTACACAAATAAAAAAAATGTTAGTCAACGATTTGTTAATAATTTCAGTATAATCATAGAATTAAAAAAGAAATTTAACCGCTTAGAGTCTGTTGCTTAGACTCTAAGCGGGAAAACTTCCCTAAAATAAGAATAACTACCGTTAAAAAGATTAGAAGATAGCGGGCAGTTTTGAGCCATTTTCTAAATTTTTATTATAATTTTAAAAAATTTGACCACCCTTTTCTAACAGTACACACACAGATTTGTCTTGGCTATTCCGTTCATAAATTAGACAAAATTTTCCAATTTACTTAACGAAGTGCACCAACGAGAAGGTAAGCCATAGGACTTTGCACTCCACCAGTGAGCTGTCGTGTTGTCTAAGGTTAGCCCTCCATTTGTGGATTCTTTACTTTATTTGATAAGCAGTTTATGTAAAAGTAATAGTAATTTTGCATAAAGCTTTTTTTTTTTTGTAATTTTAATTTTAATATTTATAATAATGTGCTGTTAAGCATAGAAATAAAAATATAGATATATATTATAAAAACATCTTTTAATTAAATAAAATTGTTACATATAAACATATCAGATATGAATCATATCATTTATAAAGATAAAAACCACTGTAGTCAAATGCAGTAAAAGCAAATAATTGGAACATAATAAAAAAATAAATAAAATAAATACATACTTAATAATAATAAATACATAATAAATACATAAATACATACAACATAATTATAAATTTTTATTAAATAAAATTATTGCGCAATTCTAGCTAAAAAGAATAAGATCATCTTTTTCAAAATCAATTAATAAAGGAAATGACCGTAAAGGAAATGACCTGACTTCATCAGGTTCCCAAGATAATTATTCTTTTGCTTCCTGCTACCTTTGTTTTACAAAAAAGGTTTTTTCCATATTCGACACCTAAGATTATGCGATATAAATTTAGTTGAAAAAGGGGCACTTTTGCCTTTAATAGCTCTTTTATATTGCATACCTTCAATATCGCATATCTTTAAAATCTATTAGATGTGTAAAAAAATTCCATTTTTAAATCCAACATAGATTCCATTTTCCTTTGAAATTTTATTTACTTTTTTAAGCATTTTGTTTTTGCTTATTAGTATTGTTTTTTTAGGAATTTCAAATGCATTCACTGTATTATGAGGAAATTTGAAACATGTGGAAAAAAGGCTACACCTAACAACTTTAATAATAATATTTTTGTTGTTTCTTTATTTTTCTGATGGTGTCAACTAATCTAATTATCTTTTTGGCCAAAGCTTTCTTGCAGCAAAACAGTTTAACATTGATATCCACGTAACATCTACAATATATTGCATGATAAGATGTATCTTTTAATGTCAAATACCAATCATAAATACTTTCATTGATAATTTTATCTAAACAAATATAGATTTTTCAGTCATCATTTCGAACAAATATATAAATTTAATATATATAATGTTTATACAATATATAAATATAAATATAAAAAAAGTAAAGTACTTTGAAATTGATTTAAATTAAATAAATATTTTATAAATGATTAAATGATTACTTACAATTTATATATTTAAATTAAATGATTACTTACAATTTATATATTTAAATTAAATGATTACTTTAATATATATATATATATATATATATATATATATATATATATATATATATATATATTATATATATATATATATATATATATATATATATATATATATATATATATATATATATATAACTTTAAAATTAGATAAATTGTAAAAAAAAGTAAATTGTAAGTTATAAATAAAACTTACTGACAAACTGTTGAAATTAAATTACTAATTGGTTAGCAACAACAACGTCAACAACAAAACCCACTTTAGAATGCTGTAAGTAAAAATTTGTAATAAAATCTCAGGTATATATAAAAAATAAAATTCATGTTTAAAAATTTGAAAATAAAAATGTTTGAAAAAATCTTTAGATATTTACTTGTTAAAGAAAAACTTACCTTTTCAAGTTTTGATTGCACTCAAAAATATCTCAACACGGGGAAATTTAAAAAATCGCCACTTAGAAAACAACACCCACCCTATTAAACTACAAAAAAAAAAAAACTTATTCACATAACAAATGAATAATTGCAGAACCTATTTTTATGTTATTACGAAAAAAATATTTCAGTTTACTTGTATTTAAACAAAACTGAAACTAAAATTAAATAACTTTATCAATTTAAAGCAAAACGTCGTCCCCAAACAAATTATTGTAGTACATCCTTTTCTAAAAAAATAACAACTATATACACATGTATACTATTAATTTTATATATATGCATATACGTATACTATTAATTTTATATATATGTGTATACTATTATATATGTATACTATTAATTTTATATATATGCTTATTAATTTTCATGAGCGGGTTTTTATTCTTCATTTTAAATCATTTTTTGCGTTTTTGGACAAAAATAGAAATTCATCAACCCTAAAATGTTTAAATGTAGAAATCTAGAATATGATTATGTTACATCCGATGGTAATGTTTAACAATCCTATTTCCCATGTTATATTAGCTGTAAGGCAATACCAATATTTATTTTTAGGGTCCACACTAATGGTACTTTTGTATTTTAACTAAAATTTGAATTGTACTTTTAACTAATTTGAATTAAGCTTTTTTTGTTCAGTTGGTTATTTTTAAGGGTGTTTTTGTTTGTTGCTGTGCATGTAGTTAACAAATGGTTGGGTTTATTATATTATAAATAGGTTGGGTTTATTGCGCTTAGTTTACTAAATGTATACCATGTTTTAAGTCCTTTAAATTTTTGTGATAAGATGCAAAAATCTGAAATTTTATTTGTCTAAATCAATGGGCATATAGTCTATAGTCAATCAAGTGTTTCATAAATCCATTTTTATATTCATAGTAATCGTTTTAAGAAGATTCACAAGCAATATTCTAAACTGGGATTATTTGAGGTCTCCACTCTGGGTGTGCACAAAAGTATCTTTTATAAAAATTTCTTAAAGCATTTTTCATTGTGTTGTTCCACAAGAACCTTTATATGGTATTATCAGGTTAATCGCCGCAAACCATAAAAAAGGTTTTTTGTTGTGCATTTTAAGAAAAAATTGGAGAACTAGTAAATCTGATACTAAGATACATTCAGTACTTCATATTAATGTCTAGTATTATGTATCAGTTTTTAGCACTCAGTTTTCAGTATTGTTACAAAGATACACATGTCACATAGATAGATAGACACATCAATCACATAGTCACATAGATAGAAAGGAATTTTCTAGTATTGTTAAATAGATACACGGAGTTAATTTGTGATAAATTTTCTCCCACTTGCTAAGATTTATAAGGTTTTAGAAAATTATTAAGTTACGTATGTAACAGGTGCAAATCCAAGTTTTTATTATCAAAAAATGACCCGAATATAACAAGTGCTTGAATATCGAATTCGTTTTAAATAGTAATAAGTTTTTTTTTTCTAATAAATTTTGCTATAATATATTAAAAATAATAATTTTATATAATAAACATATTAAATTATTGATCTATTGCAAATTATTATAAGAAAATGAGTATTTAAATAAATTTTAAATAAATTTAAATAATTATGATCTTGATTTTACATAAAGCTACAAAAAAAAAAAAAAAAAAAAAAAAAAAATACACGTCAACATAAACAATACACAAAAGTACATGTCATTATAAACAACGCACAAAATAACATAACAAATAATATAAACATATAAACAAAATTATAATATACAAATTTTAATAATAAGTAATTTTACATATTACTAATTTTTAAGCATTACTTTAATACTATAAAGTTTTAAAAGATTATAAAAAGTGATTTTCTTTTGAAAAAATTGTTTGCACACTCCCAATAACTGTGTAAACACATTTCTAATTGGTTTGTATAAAAAAGAAAACTGATATCAAAATTAATTATATGGAATGGGCTAAACAGGAAGGTCTAGTCTACATAAATGTTTTTTTTTTAATAAATACACAACGTATACAAGTGCTATATGAACGAAATAAACAAAATACTATATATATTTAAATCAAAATAATTATATTATATTACCTGCATAAGCTTTATACAAATATGAGATAAAATAACTGTATATAAAACTAAATTTTAAAAATATAAACATAGACACTATGTATACACATACTTACAGTTTTTAATACGTGTAAAAGTGGAATATTGGCATGTGATAACTTTAAATAATGCAAGAGACTTTTTGCCAGATAACAATGTGATGATTATGTAATGACTAAGTACTACACAAAAGAATCCACACACCATAAATAGCACCATCACTGTCTTATTAAATAAACTCCATATTTTTTTGTAGCTATTTCTTGATTATTCTTATTCATTTTTTATAATGAATCATATTGCTTTATATTTTTTTGAATATGTTTATCAACAATCATAAAGTTGTAGAAATATTTGATCATTTAGATTTTGCATATTACTATTGGTCAATCAGTATTTTTTATATTAAATGTTTAACGCATTTAACTCATTTTCAATCTCTGCTCGTTAAGATAAGGCAACATTAATGCTTAGATGTTTAGCTTCTTTTAGGGTCATAATACCATCCTTTAATTGATCTGTTTGTAATACTAAATTTGAAAAAAAAAATTGTAACTAATTGCAAAATACAAAAAAAGCAAAAAAAAACAAACAACAACAACAGTAAAATAAGATTAAATTGAAACTAATCTTAAAAAATGTCACTCTTTAAAAAATTAACAATGAAAATTAATAAAAGAAATTTTAAGCACACTCAAAAAAATTGTAAAAATAAAATAGAAATAATAAATCATATCATCCATCCACACATGCATACAAAAAATAAGAGTATATATGCTTATTGTTAATTGAAAAATATGTATGAGAGATTAGCAATTGGATAAGATAAATTTTTAATAATTTTCAACTGTATTTATTTGATTTATGGTTAGCCATTTGATATATTTTGATTTACAGTTTTCCAATTTGGAATAGGTGTTTAATTTACCACGTCTTTAAAAATAAAACATGCTAATTAAATAAAACTATAAGTGTACTGTACCAAAAGTTTCATTCTGTTTTGCGTGCCAATAGTCTGTGTTTCAATCTTTTTGTTGTACCAATAAATAAAATTCATTAAATAATGACACAATTATGATGAATAAGATTAAAATTATAACTTTTAGACTGAATCATATTATATGATTTTGATATTTAATTATAGTATTACTTATAATAATAGTATAAGTAATACTATAAGTATCAAAATCATATAATATGATTCAGACTAAAACTAAAGTGAAAACAATAATATTATAAGTTAATTTTATTTTAAACATGCTACCCCAGAAACATAAATTATTGATGTTTCTGGGGTATCTTTCTTTATAAAGATACCCTAGAATTATTATTCTGTAAAAGTAATTTAAAAAATCTTAAAAAAATATGAATATTCAATAAATATATATTAAAATTTATAAAGTAAAGTGTAATATTTTGTCTTTATATTTATTATGAAGAGAATTCGACTATGGTTTTTATTTAATATTTATTTCAATATTTTCCATATTCAATTATCACAACTAGTTTAAGTATAAAGCTCTGTATAGTTCCGCGTCAAAACTTCAACTGTTATTAAATTCAGCGCACTGGCATTTTAGCAAGAATTCTTCGTGCGGAATTCCCTCAAGGGAATACTTTCGTTATCAGTTTTTGTGCCGAATTGCTTGTTTTCAATCGTTAATTGCTATTCTGAATTGTTTTGCGTAACAATCATTACTTCCTTCTTTTGGATCAATGTTTGTGTTATTCGACAGTTTCCTTTTACCTATGTTTATGTCTTTTGATTCATTCACGGCGCTTTAATGTCGGATAAATTGACATCCCAATCTACTTCTTCTTTTGTTTTTAATTGATGTCTTCTGTTTCTTCTAACAATATTTCTATTTAGGGTTTTTACATTGAAACTTCGTTACTGTTTGCTCTCAACAATTTTTCCTGGTTGCAATTTATTTCCATCATGTATACAAACACAGTCTCCATCGCTTACGGTTTCCAATGTTTTTGCGTTTTTGTCATAATATTTCTTATGTAAGATTTGAACTTTTTCACGATTCTTCTTAAATTTATTTGCATCGGTTAAATTTACTTGAAGTAGTGACAGAGAAGTAGGAAGTGTTGATCTCAATCTTCTTCCACTTATGAGTTGAGCAGGTGATGCAAGACCGTCAACAGGAATATTTTTTACCTCTAGTAGAGCTATGTACAGATCTTGATTTGATATTTTTGCTTTGTTTAGCAAATTTTTTGCTATTTGCACATGTCTCTCAGCCTTTCCATTTAATTGTTGATACTGAGGGCTACTAGTTATATGTTTAAACTCACACTCTTTACTGAATTTCTGGAATTCTGAAAATGTAAATTGTGTGCCGTTGTATCTGTATGATACAACGGCACACAATTCTGTATGATGCTGTACTATCACACATCTGTATGATGCCGTACTATCTGCGGTATACCTGTCTAAGTCTGGAGGAGATCATTTTTAGTTTTTTTATCACCGTTTGAGATTGAATGTTATGTAGCCTTTCGATTTCCCAATAACGACTATAATAGTCGACCACTATTATAAAATCCTGATTATTCCAGTGAAATAAGTCCGTTCCCACAATTTGAAACGGGTAATCATTAACTTCTTAGTTTGTTTTTTTGTGCATTTCAGACATTCGTTTGTTAATGTTTGGCCAAAATACAGTTTCTCTTGCTCTCGTTTTAGTTTTTTCAATCCCCATGTGTGCTAGATGTAGTTTTTGAATTGTTGCTTTTCGCATTGATGTTGGAATTAAAATTCTTTGTCATTTGAAAAATATTCCTTCAATGAGTGTCAGTTCTTCTTACTGCCTTTTCCTTTTCCAGCCTACATTCCTTCTATGAGTGTCAGTTCTTTAAACAGCCAATAGGGTTTTATTGAGTCTTCAACCTTTCTTTTATCCTGCGGCCATCCATTTGTTATGTAGTTTGCTACTACATTTAACGTATATTTTATATCTTTGAGCGTATTTTTTTTATCTTTGAGCGTATTTTTTTTGAGCGAGGTTTTTTTCTGATGATGAACAGTTTGCATAAACCATATGCACTTGAGCGCTCATTTCATCTTCCGGAATTTCTTCTTCTAATTCTTTTCCTTGTTTTCCTTCAATCCGTTTTATTTTGTTTAGATTAGATATTTCTTTTTGCTGCGACTTAGCTTCGTTTGTGTCTACAGTTTTCACTTCATCTAGTAGTTTGATAGCTTTTAAGTCTTGTGAAGTTTGTAAGCTAAGAACGAGTTTGCTTGTTGTTTCAACTACATAAAATTAACCAACTTTTTACGACTTTTGTAGTAACACATCATATTTGATGTTCCAAACACTGGAATATGATTTCCTCCATAACCACCTAGTTTAACATTTGTATAAGTGAGAACATCACGTGATGTTAGTTGGTTGTTGACACTTTTTGGCATAACATCAAATTCAGCTCCTGTATCAATTTTTCCACGTACCAATTTGTAAATAATTTTAAAGATTATCAAAGCTTTATTTTTACTATTCATTTCACCAGATGATACAGACTCCACATGGTATTCTACAGCGCAATTTTCGTGTTTGTTTTTCGAGTTGCAGCAAGTTGCCGATTGATTTTATTTTATTACTTTTAAGCGAGAATTCCTCGTGCGGATTTTTCTCAAGGGAATACTTTCGTTATCAGTTTTTATGCAATTCGCAAAAGGGAATTGCTTGTTTTGCGCAAAAGAAAGGGAATTGCTTGTTTTGCGCAAAACAAGCAATTCCCTTTTGCGAATTGTTATTGCAATTGAATTGCAATTGCAATTGTTAATTGCTATTCTGAATTGTTTTGCGTTATAATCATTAGATAAAGTTTATTTATATTAAATAATAATATTTAAAAGTTAAATATTTATAAATTTAAAATATGGAAAAATTATTTATTTTTTAAATATGGAAAAAATTTGTGTTTAATAAAAACATTGTCATAAAATTGTGCTATAGAACAATATTGACAAAAATGTTATGAAAAAGTTATTTGAATTAAAAAATAACTAAATATTTTTAATACTTTACCTTGAACTAAAATTTTCTAGATTTAAAAGTTTATTAACAAAGTTACACTTCCACAAATATCATCGTTTATATTTTTATGTATCAAATAACATTACGCTAACAATAAAACATTTAAAAAGTCCATAATGGTTTCTGAGTCATATTTTTGATTGATAAAATAACAAACTTACAAACTCTTAGATAGCTTGGGGGGGGGGGTCCTGGAGCTTAGAGGGCCGCGCGTTAATTTACAAATACTGGTAATATTAATATGAGTGTTACTAATTTCTGTTTTATCAAATACATTTTATGAATTTATAAATTTTTACTTATTCCTACGGGCATTTTTGGAAAAAAAAATTGAGGAAAAATTTAAGGAGGGCCCCTTTACTTTTTTGGCAAGGGGCCCCCAAATTTATAGTTACGCCACTGATAGCCTTAACCTATGATGAATCATATGATCTGAAAATTTCTGCATAGATTTCTAAAATATTCATCAGCCATTCCAGTTTACAACATATATCTTCTTTTTAGTAAAGTCATAAATATATTTGTATTTCTTTTAAAAACAGACATTTTATGGTTATTTTGCTTAAAACTACTATATAACTCTAATTTAGACATAGAGTTGTAATTATTAGTATAGTTGTAAACTGGGATTTGAGATTTACTTAAAAGCTGTTTTTCTAAGTAACAATACTGATACTTAATTTAGTCATCATGTTTTCTATCGAGCTGATTACTTCAAAAAAAAGAACAGTTTTTTAATAGCTTTTAACAAAATTTAATAACTTTTAACAAACAAACTATATTAAAAAAACGAATGATAAATGTTTAAACTTTGTTTTTTGATTCAAAAAATATAATTAAACAATGCATTTATAACCCTAATTTAATATTAAAGTTATAATATTTTATTACATATTTTTCAGGGTCGGATCCAGGATTTTTGACTGTCGCAAAAATGCCATGATATTTATTTGTCAATAAAAAAAAACTCCTCGCTTCTCACATTTGCCGACAGTACTAAAAGTTCAAGTTTGCCGACCGTACTATATAATCGTACTATATAATCGTACTATATAATCGTACTATATAATCGTACTATATAATCGTACTATATAATCGTACTATATAATTGTACTATATAATCGTACTATATAATCGTACTATATAATCGTACTATATAATCGTACTATATAATCGTACTATATAATCGTACTATATAATCGTACTATATAATCGTACTATATAATCGTACTATATAATTGTACTATATAATCGTACTATATAATCGTACTATATAATCATACTATATAATCGTACTATATAATCGTACTATATAATCGTACTATATAATCGTACTATATAATCGTACTATTTAATCGTACTATATAATCGTACTATATAATCGTACTATATAATCGTACTATATAATCGTACTATATAATTGTACTATATAATCGTACTATATAATCGTACTATATAATCGTACTATATAATCGTACTATATAATCGTACTATATAATCGTACTATATAATCGTACTATATAATCGTACTATATAATTGTACTATATAATCGTACTATATAATCGTACTATATAATCGTACTATATAATCGTACTATATAATCGTACTATATAATCGAACTATATAATCGTACTATATAATCGTACTATATAATCGTACTATATAATCGTACTATATAATCGTACTATATAATCGTACTATATAATCGTACTATATAATCGTACTATATAATCGTACTATATAATCGTACTATATAATCGTACTAAATCGTACTATATAATATTTGCTGATCTAAAAGAGCTAAATTTGCAGACAAAATTGTCTTTTATGACTTTTAATCATGATTAAAACCCCGACCGAACCCTTTTCCTCATTGATGTGTTTACATCTAGTTCTTAATATTCCTGTTGCCAGTCAGTGTATTTATGCCAAATAATACACAAAACATTATCATATAAAATTATCTATATATTTAAATCGACAAAATAAGTGTGATTGTTAAAATGTTTTGGTCAGTAAAAAAATTGGAGGTTAATATTTGAAAATAAAAACGACA